TATGTTAGGGGACAGGAAGGGGGTGGGGTCCTAGGGGGGTAGTTGGGGGGGTCTCAGGAGGGGGACAAGGAGAAGGGAGGCTTAGATGGGGGGTGGGGTCCCGGGAGGGGGCAATCAGGGCACAAGGATCAGTGGGGCTTAGATAGGGGCTTGGGTCCTGCGGGGCAGTTGGGGCAGGGGTTGGATGGGTTGGGGTTTCTGTGGGGGGCAGTCGGAGGGAGTGGATGGGGGCAGGGTGGGGCTACCCTCCCTCCCCATGGAGTGTCCTATTTCTTGAATGTTAAAATATGGTATCCCTGCCCTTCCCAGTGCAGCTCTCCATTCACAGCAGGCTGCAGCATGAGGTCTCAGCTTCCTCACTCCCTCCCCCTCTTTCCTGTTGGTAGTGGCCAAGGGAATGCTGGGAAATGTAGTTCTTTCCCTGCTCCAGGGCTGGCTCTATAGGCAGGGAGCTAACCAAGGAACTACAGCTCCCAGGGGCCCCCTGTTGGTTCTCAGCTCCCATGCTGGATCCCTGCCGCCCCTGCAAATGGGCTGGCCCAAGCACGTGGTTGCTTTGCTGGTGCCTAGAGCAACCCGTGCCTCTGAGAAGGGGCTGGGTAGGGAGCGGGGCAAGGGTGTTTGGGTTTGTGTGATTAGACAATTAGCAACCCTAGCCTGGACCCAGCCCTGCAGTCATTCCCAATGAAATCAATGGTAGTTTTGCCAGTATTAGGAATTCAAATTTGGGCCCTAAGTGTCAGAGATTCATCTTATTGCAAAAATAAAATCTTAAATTTCATGCAGAAGTTCTTACTACTTTTATTATTAAATTATTTCAAATAAATTGATATAGGTGAAAGAAAAAGATTCTGTACATTGGGAAAGAGGTATCATTTGCTAATATGTTTCCCCATCAAACTGGTTTAGCATTGTGATATATTGCATACTAGTTTACATGTTTGTTATGATGTGCAAAAAGCCTTACAAACATTATATATAATGTGCATGTATTTATATACACATATGTATATAACTGTCTGTGTGTATAAAAAACTCTCTCTCTATATATATATAAACAGCATATATAATTATATATACTGTGTGTTTGTGTGACATGCACGCACAAACTCACTCTATATATACAGAGAGAGAGAGAGTTAGATTACAATCCAAAGACTGATATTTTAACTTTAATGGTTCAGAAATGTTTCATATCCATATTGGGAAGAAAAAAGAATCCACTGTGAAGTTGTTCTCAGTAGTTGTAGTTTATTTGTAATTTTAAGCGCATTATGTTATCCTTTATAAATTTAATAGCCAAATATTTTATGAAGAATGTACATCAAAGCATTTTCAAACATATTTTTGTTCATTTTTCAAGGGAGTCTAAGGTTTCTTCTGGTGAAAAGATGAGGATTGGAGGTAGTGAAGAGGTTGCCTGGCTGCAGATATGTGAGCCCACTGAAAAGGACAAAGGGAAATACACCTTTGAAATTTTTGATGGCAAAGAATCCCATAAGCGCATGCTTGATCTATCTGGACAAGGTAAAATACTGAATATATTGTAGTTCTAAGGCATGATGCATTTTCATAAACTGGATTAAGTGGAAGAATCACTATAAAAATGGAAAGCTATCAGCCAAATTCAGCCATGCTATAAGTGGACCCAACTTTTCTGGATACCTTAGCGTTGAGGCCATTTCCACCAGGACTGATTTTGACCCCGTATGTTCAGTTTTCATTTGATATGTTGGTACTATGTAATTTTATGAGAGGTTTTAAAAGAATATTAACATAGTAATGAGTGACAACATTTATGTTTACTTGTAGATAAGAACTATGTTACATTTTATATAATGCACTGAAATATTTCATTCCAGCTTTTGATGATGCATATGCAGAATTCCAGCGACTCAAGTAAGCCATACATTTTTTATTTGGATCCTGTAGGTAGTGCCTTAATTATACAGTACAATATTAATTTATTTCTTTTCTTTCCCACCGTCCCCAACTTTAGGGCAGTGGCTTTTGCTGAGAAGAGTAAGTATATTTTACATATTTTAAGAGACAATCTACTTCTAAACTTGTGACTTTTTTTTTAATTTGGCAAACCTAATTCCAAGTTCCCATGTTTTTCATAGTTCCATGACAGCAGAATCAACACATTGCTGCAGAATTTGGCCACAGAATTTGCTGTCGTTTTTCAAAAGTTGTGTGTCTAATCCTCTTTAGTTGCAAAGGAAACCTGTCAAATGAGAACTGGGTGGGTAAACCACTGCTATGCTGTCTTAGAGAGCCTGAAACAATAAATTTAAGAGTTGTGAATTTCCTTCATTACACTGGGAAGTTGACTCTGAAACATAATGATAGCTACCATCTGGATGCTAAAAACCTAAATTGCTCTTGCTTTGTTGTGTTCCAAAAGCTTATACTGTTCCATACTCAGCTGTCAGAGTCTCTCTAACAACATCTTCAAGGCAATTGTATGCTTGGTAAAAAAAATCTGTGGCACATTGTACATTAAAAATTTGAGGGAAGCATAAAATAGTTAATATTTATTTTCATATTTCATTTAATAAAAATTCCTATTTTTAAGATACTGCCTCCTAGATGCTTGAAACTGCCCAAAAATTTCCTTTTGGTCTGAAGTCACCAACTTATTGCTAATACTACATCAGGATTTATAAATATTAACATATTTAGTGAGTAATAAATACTTTCAGACTTTGTGATGGTTTGTTATAGTATGATTATTATTTTTTAATTCCTAGATCGTGGTAAAGTGATAGGAGGTTTGCCCGATGTGGTGACTATAATGGAAGGCAAGGTAAGGATGACTTTTGTCATTGTCACGTTCGTATGTTGGGATTTCTGTGTTAGTGGGGAGGAGGCAGCGGTTCAGCGAAGTAGAGAACCATGCAGTGTAGCCTTCTGGATGGAGAATGTATTAATTATTATTATTAGGATTATCAAAGCCGACCAGGGGATTTAATGACAAAGTTCCCACACCAGATCTGCAAGGGGCTTGGTGACCCCTACTCACGGTCAAGTGGGCCCAAGATCCTGAGCGCTTGTGGCTAGGTTCATAAACTAGCAGACAACCGATAACCCTTACAATGTGTATAGCCCTTGAGGTCAGGACATGGTATAGCATTGAGAGCACAGGGAGAGGTACAATGAAGTCCCATGAGCCTGCAGCTCTCTGTGCTGCAGCCCCCTCTTCTTCTGGAGTCCTGGTGCTGTGGGCTGGGAGGGGCAGCAGCAGGCCCGGCAGTAGTGAAGAGGTGGGCTGCTTAGGCTTTCCACAGGGACTGAAGGCACTGGTGCTGCATGGAACCTCTCCCTGCACTCTCTGGGCTGCACCCTGCCCTGACATAGTTGTTAATACGCAGCATGCCTGTTGCCAACATCTGTATCTCATTAACATTAAAGTCGATGGGATGGGATCAGTTCCTGGCAAAAATGCTGCTATTAACTGAAGTTTGTTAATATCGGGGTTGCTATTAACTAGTATCCACTGTAGAGGAAATCAATGACCAACGGGTATTCTTCTTCTTCTTTGTGTAGTGTTCCTATGGGTGCTCCACTTCAGGTGCTCATGCACCTCTCAAGCCTGGAGCAGAGATTTTTCTGCTAGCAGTGCCCATTTGGCCCAGACATGTGCCCCATGCCTCCTTGTGGCAGACAAAGGTGGTGTAGGGATGCGTGGACAAACCACCCTTAGTTCCTTCTTTATTGCTTGGGCTGAGATGGAACTCTAGCTTGCCCACCTTGAGCACGCCTCAGCTATTTCCTATTCTTCTTATGGTAATATTAGTTAGTATGGTTAGTTGTTAGCCTTACTAACTACAACTATTTCTATGTCTACACTAGAGAACTTACAGCAGCACACCTGTACTGATGCAGCTGCGTTGCTGTAAGATCTGTCGTGTAGCCGTTCTATGACGATGGGAGAGCTTTCCTGTTGATGTAATTAAACTACCCTCAAAGAGCTACGTCAGCAGGAGACATTCTGCCACCAACATTGTGCTGTGCACACCACCACTTATGCCGATGTAATTTATCGTGCTCTGACAAGGCTTCGGTACTCTCTACCGAGGCAAGCAAAGCACCCTGGTCCATCAGGCTCAATCCTACTGTCGGCACCTGCCCACTCAGCACCCTCAGTACTGAACAAGCAATAGTACCAAAATCAAATGGCACCTACATGGGTATGCCTGCCATCAACATACTGTCAGCTTCAGCTACCGTGTCTTCAGCTACTGCATCAATACTGATTCCCTACTCAGTAATGCAAGACTTTAGATATGAGAGGGACCTGGAGCTGGAATCCAGGCTCCTCATGGATACTAAGTGTCCTTCAGTACCAAGACGTCAATCTCCAGAGTGCTACCAGCCCCCAGTATTGCAGGACTCTCAACCCATGTCTATGGTGGCTCATCCACTAGACATGTTGAGGAGGATGAAGGGGACTTCCAGTCAGTCACTTCAGTCCAGAGTTCCCCAACATGTCCTGTCAGGAACCCATTCTTTGACAGTCACAGGGAAGATCTCAACTATCATCAAGGGTGGTGGAACCAATTCTGCATGCCACCCCCCTCCCATGGCCATAGTGCAAACACTGAAGGATTTCAGAGCCACTTTACATTCGCTGGGCATATATACACCTAAAAATAAGAGATAGTTTAGTAGATCACAAACTGCCTAGAGATTGTGTCCTGCTAAATCCTCTGGATTCTGAGCCCCTATGAAAAGACATGTTTCAGAGGAAGAGGGCCACTCATCCACCCTCCACAATCACCCAACCATCTTCTAAGTAGCAATTTTGATGGGCTGGTCTGGGTTCGAATCCTCCCACAGCTCTGATTTTACTGCTGCACCCATTTGCCCACCACCCTCCATTTGGAGACCACCTTTCTCATTTCCAACATGCCTGGAGGTTGATTACTACAGACAAGTGGGTCATAGTGGTTATAACATCAGGCTATACCATCCATTTTACATCACTCCTACCCTTCAACTCCCCTTCCCTGTCCTCCTTCAGGGACCCTTCTCACGAGCTTGTATGAAGACAGGAGGTGAATTCTCTCCTCAGAATAGAAGCAATAGAGCTGATCCCTTCCCCTCACAGGGGCAAAGTGTTTTACTGGAAGTATTTTCTTGCACCAAAGAAGAACGTAGTGTGGAGACAAATCTTAGATTTAAGACTTCTAAACAAGTTCGTAAAGTCTTAGAAGTTCAGGATGGTGACTCTGGCACCTATAATTCTTTCACTGAAAAAGGGGCATTGTTTTTTGGTCCTCAGCCTACAAGATGCCTTCTTCCGTGTAACATACACCCTTTGCACAGGAAATATGTATGATGCACTATAGGTCAGGATCATTTCATAAGAACATAATTAAATGAATTCTTTGCATCTGTCTTCATGGCTGAGGATGTGAAGGATATTCCCAAACTCAAGCCATTATTTTTAGGTGACAAATCTGTGGTGTAATTAGAGAAGGTTTTGGAATAAATTGATAAACTAAACTGTAAGAACTCACCAGGACCAGATGGTATTCATCCAAGAGTTCTGAAGTGTGAAATTGCAGAACTACTAACTGTGGTATGTTTCAGAGTGATAGCAGTGTTAGTCTGTATCAGCAAAAACAACGAGGCGTCCTTGTGGCACCGTAGAGACTAACAAATTTATTTGGGCATAAGCTTTTGTGGGCTAAAACCCACTTCATCAGATGCATGGAGTGGAAAATACAGTATGTAACCTACCATTTAAATCAGCTTCTGTACCAGATGACTGGAGAATAGCTAATGTAACACTAATTTAAAAAAAAGACTCCAGAGGTGATTCCAGCAATTGCAGGCCAGTAAGCCTAACTTTAGTACCAAGCAAACTGGTTGAAACTATAGGAAAGAATAGCATTATCAGACACATAGATGAACACAATTTGTTGGGGAGAAGAGTTAACATGGTTTTTGTAAAGAGAAACTATGCCTCACCAATCTGCTATAATTCTTTAAAGCATGTGGGCAAGGGTGATCCAGTGGATATAATGTACTTAGATTTTCAAAAAGCCTTTGACAAGGTCCCTCCTCAAAGGCTCTTAAGCAAAGCAAGCTGTCATGGGATAAGAGGGAAGGTCCTTTCATGGATCAGTAACTAGTTAAAAGATAGTAAACAAAGGGTAGGAATAAATGGTCACTTTTCAGAATGGAGAGAGGTAAATAGTGGTCTTTCACAGGGGTCTGTACTGGACCAGTACTGTTCAACATATTCAGAAATGATCTGGAAAAAGGGGTAAACAGTGAGATGGCAAAGTCTGTAGATGATACAAAACTACTCAAGATAGTTAAGTCGAAAGCAGACTGCAGAGTTACAAAGGGATCTCACAAAACTGGGTGACTGGGCAACAAAATGGCAATTCAATGTTGATAAATGCAAAGTAATATTGGAAAACATAATCCCAACTATACATATAAAATGATGGGGACTAAATTAACTGTTGCCACTCAAGAAAGAGATCTTGGAGTCATTCTGGATAGTTCTCTGAAAACAGTGACAGTCAAAAGAGCGAACAGAATGTTGGGAATCATTAGGAAAGGGCTAGATAATAAGACAGAAAATATCATATTGCCTCTCTATAAATCCATAGTATGCCCACATCTTGAATAGTGCATGCAGATGTGGTCTTCCCATCTCAAAAAAGATATATATTGGAAAAGGTTCAGAAAAGAGCAACAAAAATGATTAGGGGTATGGAACAGCTTCCATACGAGGAGGGGATCAGTTGATGATTACGTGCTCTGTTCATTCATTCATTCATTCCCTCTGAAGTACCTGGCATTGGCCACTGTCGGAAGACAGGATACTGGGCTAGATGGACCATTGATATGACTCAGTATGGCCATTCTTATGTTCTTATGTTGGAGCTCTGGGCTGTCAGGAAGGCCTGCTTCTATTTCCTACCTCTCATCGGGGCAAATAAATCAGGGTTGTGATGGACAATGTGTCCTGCATGTTTTATATCAACAAGCAGGGAGGAGTAAGAGTCCCCACTGTGCACCAAAGCCATGAAGCTATGGAACTCGGTGCATATCTCATCAGATCCAAATTTTTGTCTACCTGCCAACTGTTCAGAACAGCCAATGTTCTCAGCAGACACTTCTCTTAGGACTATGAATGGGTGCTAGACCCTCAAGGCCTCCACAGCATATTCCAAAGATGGGGTCTGCTGAAGTGGATTACTTCACCATCTTCAGAAACAAGAAGTGCCATTTCTTCTGCTCAAGAGGGGTCTGGACCTCCACTCTTTGAGGGATGCCTTTCTTCTTTGCTGGAAGAAGGGTCCGCTCTGTGCACTTTCTCCAACTCTGCTGATACCAAGGTCTTGTCTACACTAATGTTTTAAGTCGATCTAAGTGATGCTAGTAAAGTTATGTAAATTACATAACTTAAGTTGACGTAACTTATAGTGACTTAAAGTGTGTCTACATCCTGCTATGTCTATGGGAGACACTCTCCTGTTGACATAGCTTCCGCCTCTCATTGAGATGGAATACTGAAGTCGATGGGAGAGCACTCTCCCATCAACTTAGTGCATCTTCACCAGATCCGCTAAATTGACGCTTCTGCATTGATGGCAGTGGCGCTGACTTAGTGTGGTAGTGAAGACAAGCTCTCAGTGTGATGAACAAAATTAGATGGCATGGTTCCTTGATGATTCACGGGGCTAGAATCCTCCTGATCCGATGAAGCGCAACAGGTGTTACTGAATGGTAGGAAGAAGTCAACCTGTACTGTTTATCTGCAGAAATGGAAGAGAATCTCCC